TAGTCAAGTATCAGGGGCAATGACGCATGCGATTACATATGTTTTAATTTGTTTCTGTAGTGCTAGTTTATTAATAAGAGGACGACCATTCTTCGTAAGGATGTAACTACACACTGGTACACAAACCATCTCAAAGGCACATTGATACACACTGTCACTAGTAAATAATATATATATATATATAGGATCTTTCATGAGTTTCCATGCCATATGAGATTTATGAAACGAGAGTATTTTTAGGTTACCTGAGCTTTGCTCAAGTGACATATTTTGATCGCTTTCCGTCCGTCGTCGTCCGTCGTAAACTATTTTCATTTTCGACTTCTTCTCAAGAACAAATAGATGGATTTTTTTTCAAATTTGGTCAGAATCATCCTTGTTAGATGAGGCTACAAAATTGAAAAAATGGGATTCCTACCCCAACCTCAGGGGCAAGGTCGAGGCCCCAAAGAGAAATTCACCAATATTTCAAAAATATCCTCCTCCAGACTCAGAGGTATTACAGCCAATTTCTCTAGATGGATGAAAAGATCACCAGTGACCAGAGGCATTATTTAAAAATTGTAAATTTCAGTACCCCCTGGCAATCTGTTCTCCCTTAGGTAGGGGGTAAAGTTTACTAAGTTTATATATGGAATAAACACGTTGGAGTATAGTTTGTTCATTTTCAGTAGGAAATTATTCTTACTTGGTGATTATCAACAAGTACAGCAGACCGGAGAGGTGTCCTCTCGCGACTGCGCAAACCTACATCACATATGGCTACATTTGGTGTCCTCTCGCGACTGCGCAAACCTACATCACATATGGCTACATTTTGCGTGCGGAAAAAACTTTATTGTCATGCATGCGATCAACTATTTACGGTCAAACACTTTATGGTTGAATGCGCTGATTTCAAACAAAGATAGATTTTATGATGTACCGTCTGTGAAACAATAATTCGATACAGTTTCTGTGCAATCAATATATGACTATTTACACTCTATTGATCTTTACAATTACATATGATATATTGTGCAGCCAATTTGTTTGATATTGATGTATTTTTTTATTCCTTTACGTATTTTAAGCTATTAAGATTTGACTTGATGTGTTCAAGTTAAAAACATTCTTCATCAGACTAGGGTGTTTTACAAACAGATACTCTTCATGGATAGTAAGGTCCTTAGGTGCATTATCAAAATTGTAAATTTCATTATCTCCGAGGTCATCTGCTCTCCCTTGGGAAGAGGGTAAAGTTTACTATCATTTATATAGGGAAATAACTCTCCTGACTATGTCTTGTCCATTTTCAGCAAGGAATAATTCAAATCTGGTTGGAATAGTTATAATGAATTGCAATCAAATAGTATCAGAAAGTAAGATCGTGACATATCCCAGGGGTTGGCCAAAGGGGAAAACTGGCTACATAACGATACATATTATATTTCTCAATAGCAAAATAATTTATTTGAATAGTTGTTATCCTTTGGTGACATGAAAAGTATTATATTTCACTATGTTTACATGTTGATTTCAACATCACATCTCAACAATAAAATTGAGCTATCAGTACCTATAATATAACTCAGGTTACCCTTGGGCCTCTTGTTCATTTTAGCTCGACAGTGGCTCGCTAATGAAAAATCCGTGACTCGTTTGATAAATCTCATATGAATTGGAAACGAGTGTAAGATCCTTTTCATCATATAACTGAAATACTGTTCATTCATTCGTTAACCATCGTCCGTCATTTCATCAGCTGTTCTATCAAAATGTAGGTAGGAAATATCTGCGCTGTAACAAATAGTTACAAATAATTTCTGAATAATCACTCAAACAACATGGCTAAATATTAATATGTAAGCCATTTTACAATGCTTATACATGTTAAAGGATACATGAACAGACCATCCCTGCCAAATTAAAATAATGGCCCTTTTTTTACATGGAAGAAAGTGGGCTTTATGAATGCAAGGGCCTGAAAAGTTAAATGGCAGGATGGAAGGGCAAGTTCCTGGATAGGACACTACCGCTACAGATCTAAAAGCTGTAGATATGTGTGCAATTGATTTGTGTCCTTGTGACATTGAACTCATCAAGTTGAAAATAACAAAGCAGGGCAAGAGCAATCAAATAATGAATGCATGTGAGATATAGAGAGGCGAAGTTCAAACTGCAGAAGTCTGGTGATGCACTTTCACCACGTCAACCTTATATGCAATCAAAACAAAATATTACATCCGCGCATTTGAAAGAGGAACAAAATTATTTAATAACTCCTTTTGCCTTTGGCCGTCGAAATCTCGCTCCATCTTCCAACAACTCTTTTAAAAAATAAGCCACTACTTTATACATTAAAGAAATGTTTAAATAACCTTACTCCCTTGTTCCTATTACTTCTATTATGGTAACAAGCTAGGACAAATTTATCATTCCAGATTACGAAAACGATGTAGCTCACTTAAAGCTCACCTCTTCAGGAAACAAATAATTAAATAAGTCCTATATAATGTTGCGAAGAAGAAAACGAAACAAGCGAGTTATTTCTTCTACAATTTCTTATGGTAGATTCCGTGGATGTCCTTAGGCACCTGTGTTGGCGATATTTCTTTTATCAGTTGCGGAAAACGAAGTTATATTTGATAGTGTCCAATCGTCTATATAACAAATTAAAGGTTTTGAACACTAGATTTAGATGGGTTTATGCTGTCCCTACTTTCATCACTAGATACGCATTAATTGCTGAGATTTGTAAGTTCATATCTATCATAACTGTCCACAACTTTACTAGAGTTTACAATAATATTTTTATTTCAGTGTATCATTCGGGAAAAGGATTCCGTGGTAATTATGTACAATTTTATCTACGAGTACCTCTGCAAATTCCTGTCTTCTTCCTTCTCTGTTTGAAAGGAGACAGATAACATAATTTTCAAGCCTTTATCTGAATTCTTGATGTAAATATTTAGTTTTAAGAACAATGTTAGTAATATTAACATTAGGTTGAAGATATGTGATCCATTGATTACGACCGTGGTAATGTTTGTAGTTGTACAGAACTGTATGTTATGATATGTTATTTATAGAATTAATTTTCCCTAACAGCACGTCCATGTACACTCTAAGTAACATTATATGTTCGATAGTGACGAGACTGGTTCAACTGATATGTAATATATCACATACAAAATCGTATCTACCCACGAGCTGTTTACCGACAGTGACGTCAGAGGATCAGCGTAAAATTTAAGTGAGTTTACCGTCAGTTAAAACGATCAAATCGTTCAAGTATACATTGTAATACTAAGGTTTTTGTTTTAAATTTGAAAATCAGTTCGGTTATGAAATTGACATGTCGACTGCTTACAAACCGTACATGTATCGCAGATACATCTACGAGTATGTTGGTTAAAGTATTTGAAAACTAGTGTTAAAAAGAGATTAACAACTAGGTGCATTAGATTTAATGTCTTTGTTTTTCTTCTATTGTTATGATGATGTTATCAGTAGCAGATAGCCCTGCCCTTAATTAATAATGGGCTGGGCGGTAGGCACTACCGCAGACCGAGTTTTGAGGCACAGAAGAAAAACTCCGATTCTGCAAGGAGGGTTGGGGACCCAAAACATAACAAAATCTGAAACTTACTGATTGAAAAAAGGAATGGCTGTCTGTCGGCCATTTTGTTTAACCGATCTGTATAAAAAGTTCACATGCACAACAACGATCAAAGAAAGGCTTCATATGAAATTTGTGAAAGAATCCGACAGTACTTTCTGAGAAATAGCGTTAACAAACTTTCTCTGTCAAAATCGAAGATGGCCGACCGTCGACCATTTTGTTTATTCCATCAGTCTCGAAAGTAAAAATAAAAGGTTAAAGACGACAGGGAACCTACCTATCAAATTTGAGAAATGAAACTAATATACTTGCAAACTTTAAAATATTTTCGTTCATTTCAAATGAGTGTACTATGTTGAAGCTATGTTTATTGATAGTGTTAAGAATCATTAGACACAAATATATATGTACGCTATATTAGGATGTTTTATAAAGTGTCTAACTACCATTCTTGTAGTAATATTTATGCTGATATGACACTGGTCGAAATGTCTAAAACTATCAACATGGAATTTAAGGTTATTTTGTAGGTTAATATGGGTCAAAGATTGTGTGATGATGAGAAGCGCACATTTGTTTTTTATAATTTTAAAGCTGATATTGAATTTTAACTGAAACCTTTGAACATGAACGGCATACAGGACGAGTGGCTGGTATCCTATTAACAGCTAAGGTCATTTAAAGACGTGCCTCCATGTGTGCAGTGTATGCGTGCTTGTATGAGTGTATGCAGGAGACAGGGTATGTTGGTGTGCTTGCCTCATTGTAATAGCGCGGGTCTGATGCCGACTTTATAGTGCTATCTATAACAAAGAGACAAACACGATCATATCGCATACACGCATGCATCTTGCAAACAGGGGAGGTCGTCATTATATGACCATAGCTGTTGATAGGACGTTAAAAAAATACTAAACCAAATCAACCTTAACCACGTGTGTTGTGTACGCGTACATGCGTATATGTATGCCGGAGACAGGGTTTGTTGGTGTACTTGCCTCCTTGTGAAAGCGTGGATCTGATGCCGACTTTATAGTGGCACCCGTTGCTATATTTTGGATCTTGATATTACTTTTTGCTTCTAACTTCCTTTTATTTCCAATCGCCTTACCTGGCAATACCTAACTTTTGGTTTTACTTTTGAACGTTCGCCAAGGTGAGGAATCCAATGGATTCTTTTCCCAGGCCGGGACAAACCAAAGTCTTTCAAATGGTCAGGTGTTATTTCCCTGCTTAACATTCAGCATACACAAATGACCTGAGCTTTTGATAGGGCGTTTAACCCTATACAATCAATCTTTGCCTTCTCTTGTGTTGATTGACCGTTAAGCATGTAATACTTATAACACTTTCACAATTCTGAAGCAACTAATGTATTCTCATTGTTTAATTGCAGATAGCGATTATTTATCCTTCTGAAAATCGTCATGAATCCACTAGATAAAAACAGTTTGTCCGAGTCGGAGAGAGATGTGTTGGACGGTAAAACCATACTGGTTTTAGGAGACGACCAGATAAATCGAAAATGGATTCGGACTACATTGAAGAATTACGGAATCAAGGTAACGTTATTTTCTATGATTCACAAGAATACTATATATAACAATGCATTGCAAAACTAATTTTGCAGAGTATTGTTCAAGTTATGAGTGGAATTGCTATAATTTCTGATAATAACAAAGCTCCCTTTCTTTTGCAGCTCATCCTTGTTGATCACAAACCCAGTGCTTTTTCATCAGAAGATGTATACAAATACATCCAGTATGATTTTACTGATCACCAACAGGACGAAATCCACGCCGCGAGAATAATTGCGAAATTGGCAGCGGATAATTTCTCAATAGATGGTTGTTGTACATTCACAGATGCATGTGGGGTACTTGCTGCTTATTTATGTGAGAAGTTGGAACTAATTGGAGGTGTCGGCGTAACGGCAGCAAACATTGTTTGGAATAAAAGTTTAACACAAACTTACTTGCAAGAACAAACTGAGGGCGTTCCTCGTTTCCCGAGAACGTACACATTCACTGGCAGGACAGCTTCGTTTGCATGCGAAAACACGTTGAGGTCCGCAATGAATACCATTGGATTTCCTGCTGTATGTAAACCAAACAATAGTGCACATGCAAATGGCGTGATGTTGATTCGGAAAGAGGATGAGGGTCGACATCTGTACAAGAAACTGGCTACTTTGCTTGAAGATGGAAAATCAATGATGTTGATGGAATATTTCGATGGCACTGAACACGATATCGAAGTTATTATTTATCAAGGGGAGATAATTGCCGCCATTGTTTCAAACAATGGTCCTACAAGACCAGGATGCTTTGTTGAAACATCTATGTCCATGCCATCGTGTCTACCTCCAACAAAAGTGGCAGAGCTCAAGAAAGCAGCATCCGACTGTTGCAATGATATTGGCCTGCGTAACGGAGTTTTTAACGTAGAAATGAAGCTGACATCGACAGGCCCCAAGCTGCTCGAAATCAATGGACGCATGGGTGGAAATTATGTACGAAGTTGGATGCATACCTGTTACGGATTCGATCTGCTCTGGTATGTGATAGCAATTGCGGCAGGGATCCGACCAAATGTTCCCAAAGAAAATACAACCGTCCATATGATGGGCATTACTTGTGCTTTACCCGTGCATCAGCAAATTCTGAGTCACATAGATTTTGGTATCAAAGCTACGGAACTTGTTCAATCAGGTGCAATTCAGTTTTTTGGCGAAAAAAACTGCGGTAGTACAGAAAATAACCCCCAAAAGAGCGTTCCATTTTGTAATGTTGCAGTGGTGAAACACGACTTGCAAACGGCTAAATCGGCACTTCTTCACGTCTGTGACATACTAGGTATCCACACCGCACTTTTTGATGTACCGACTTATCTTTCAGAATTTGTTCCGCATCAATAAAGTCATTTGGCAGACGCTTTTCCTTAAAATATAACAGTGTAACACAGAACATTTATCAGGTTGAATATTTATGCAATTGTTACGATATGTTTCATTTAAAAAGATTGTATGATTGCAGATACAATTAAAAACTTAGGCAAATCATAAGTATCCTTCATGCACGGAGCTTACATATATTTTTCATGTTAACACTTAAAAGATACCAAGCAAAGCTAAGTTTCGCTTACATGTTATTCATTATGTCAAAATAGCATAGGACCAAAGTTATCAACTGCATGATGAAAATTAATAATTAAATTGAAAAGTGTCTGATATTCAATATCATATCCAGAGATATATCAATCATACATAAGACGAAATAAGGAATTAAGTCTGGTGACAAAGGATTCATAAAGTTTCAACCTGATGATATATGTTCGAAAGGAAAGCAGACGTAAGGAAACTGGCTATATAACTTATAGATTGTAGATAGTTTTTAGGGGTTATATGCTTGGCATGTTTATTTAATCGGAGTTACCAGTTTTTGAATGTTATTTAGCATTAAACTCGTCAGTTCATTAAACTATGTTATTGACAAAACGGCACACCCTTTCCCGCAGGATATAAAGGTGTAGCTGTTGATATGTGCATTATTGGATTCGTCGACGGCTGTCGGCATATACCTGTAAGAATCTCAATTCGTCAGCAGATAATCGAGCAACCAATAGTGAATCCTCTGTCGTCACTTACAAGTAGCGATTCTAGTACCAAAAAGGGAAAGCTCCTCTTAAGCTCTCAATGGATCTTCAGCATCGCGCTTTCAGGAACTTGGGAATAAAAATGAGAAAATATGTGAATTTGACGCTTGAAAGGATTGAAAACACCACTATCAGAAGGAAACCTTAGATTGTGTCGCATTGATACAACAGCATGCAGGAGCTTTATTAAACACATATATATGTTGCATAGATAGGAGTGATGTACTTAGACATTCGCTGGAGTAGATCGTTATTAGTGTGTTATAAAAAACTACTGTACAAAATTTAAACAAAATTGATGATCATGTGTTTTACTAACGAATGCAGTGTGATTGATGTTTGAAGATTTACATGCATTGCCTATACATTTTGAAAATAAATATTAACATATATCGCTTGTTCATGTAAATATTATTGACATTGTGGAGAATGAATCGCTCCATTGCTACTGTAACGTTTTTAGGCATTCCACTCTGACACCATTTGTAACGTTTTTAAACATTCCACTCTGACACCATTTGTAACGTTTTTAGGCATTTCACTCTGACACCATTTGTAACGTTTTTAGGCATTCCACTATGACACCATTTGTAACAATTTCAGGCATTCCACTCTGACACTATTTTGTAACGTTTTTAGGCATTACACTCTGACACCATTTGTAACGCTTTTAGGCATTCCACTCTGACACCATTTGTAACGTTTTTAGGCATTCCATTCTGACACCATTTGTAACGTTTTTAGGCATTCCACTCTAACACCATTTGTAACGTTTTTTAGCAATCCACTCTGACACCATTTGTAACGTTTTTAGGCATTCCACTCTGACACCATTTGTAACGTTTTAAAACGTTCCACTCTGACACCATTTGTAACGTTTTTAGGCATTCCACTCTAACACAATTTGTAACGTTTTTTAGCAATCCACTCTGACACCATTTGTAACGTTTTTAGGCATTCCACTATGACACCATTTGTAACGATTTCAGGCATTCCACTCTGACACTATTTTGTAACGTTTTTAGGCATTCCACTTGGACACCATTTGTAACGTTTTTAGGCATTCCACTCTGACACCATTTGTAACATTTTTAGGCATTCCACTCTAACACCATTTGTAACGTTTTTAAGCATCTCACCTCTGACACTATTTGTAACGTTTTTAGGTATTCCACTCTAGCACCATTTATAACGTTTTCAGGCATTCCACTCTAACACCATTTGTAACGTTTTTAGGCATTCCACTATGACACCATTTGTAACGTTTTTGAAACATTCCACTCTAACACAATTTGTAACGTTTTTAAGCATCTCACCTCTGACACCATTTGTAACATTTTTAAGCATTCCAATCTGACACCATTTGTAACGTTTTTAGGCATTCCGCTCTGATACCATTTGTAACGTTTTGAGGCATTCCACTATGACCCCATTTGTAACGTTTTAAGGCATTCCACTCTGACGCCATTTGTGACGTTTTTAAACATTTCACTCTAACACCATTTGTATCGTTTTTGAAACATTCCACTCTAGCACAATTTGTAACGTTTTTAATCAACTCACCTCTGACACCATTTGTACCGTTTTTAGGCATTCCACTATGACACCATTTGTAACGTTTTTAAGCATTCCAATCTGTCACCCTTTGTAACGTTTTTAGGCATTCCACTCTGATACCATTTGTAACGTTTTTAAACATTTCACTCTAACACCATTTGTAACGTTTTTAAGCATCTCACCTCTGACACCATTTGTAACGTTTTTAAGCATTCCAATCTGACACCATTTGTAACGTTTTTAGGCATTCCACTCTGACACCATTTGTGACGTTTTTAAACATTTCATTCTGACACCATTTGTAACGTTTTTATGCATTCCACTCTAACACCATTTGTAACGTTTTAAGGCATTCCACTCTGACACCATTTGTAACGTTTTTTGGCATTCCACTCTAACACCATTTGTAACGTTTTTTGGCATTCCACTTGGACACCATTTGTAACATTTTTAGGCATTCCACTCTGACACCATTTGTGACGTTTTGAAACATTCCACTCTAACACCATTTGTAACGTTTTTAAGCATCTCACCTCTGACACTATTTGTAACGTTTTTAAGTATTCCAATCTGACACCATTTGTAACGTTTTTAGGCATTCCACTCTGACACCATTTGTGACGTTTTTAAACATTTCATTCTGACACCATTTGTAACGTTTTTAGGCATTCCACTCTAACACCATTTGTAACGTTTTAAGGCATTCCACTCTGACACCATTTTAACGTTTTTAGGCATTCCACTCTGACACCATTTGTAACGTTTTAAGGCATTCCACTCCTACACCATTTGTAACGTTTTTTGGCATTCCACTTGGACACCATTTGTAACGTTTTTTGGCATTCCACTCTAACACCATTTGTAACGTTTTAAGGCATTCCACTCTGACACCATTTTAACGTTTTTAGGCATTCCACTCTGACACCATTTGTAACGTTTTTAGGCATTCCCCTCTGACACCATTTGTAACGTTTTTAAGCATTCCACTCTGACACCATTTGTAACGTTTTTAGGCATTCGACTCTGATACCATTTGTAACGTTTTTAGGCATTCCACTCTGACACCATTTGTAACGTTTTCTTGCTTCCGCTTCTGACACCATTCCTTCCTTTATCTGATATTTCCGTCGAAATTAAAACTAACTAGTGCAGTTCAAGGTAACTGAACATTTATTACAGAACCAGCAAAAGTTCACAGGATTCATATACAATTCATATTGGTACTCAACCTAAACTACAACTATATATACATCTTAACTTCTCACCAAATATCTCACATCTCACTTACTCTCAATCTCCGTCACTTTTATGCACAAAAATACTACGGTTTTTTTAACGGATTTTCTTTCATGTAAATATACCCGAATGGCAGGAGGCAGACACATGTGTTCTAAACGAATATTATTTTGTTAGAGATTTTAAAGCTATAGGTATGTTACTAGTGATTTGACTCGGTACAACTGGTTTCGAATACCAAAACCCTTGTAAACAGGTGAACTTCTCATTTGCCACTCGGGTCATAGTCATACGCATCCTTAATTTTTACACTTGACAAAGTTGAGAAAAGAAGGTTAGAGGGTATAAGATTAATTACAAGTTAAAAGGTATATATATAAATATACGCCTAAGTCGAAGTCTCAACAAGTAGTGTTGATAGGGAAGATTGATAATCGGGATAATCCGGTAAACATGAAAGACAAAACATCGCGTATACGAGAAAGGCGGATAACTGGGGTAATCGGGTAAACGGGATAAACGTGAAAGACAAAAAATCGGGTATACGAGAAAGGCGGATAACTGGGGGAATCGGGTAAACGGGATAAACGGGAAAGACAAACTATCGGGTATACGAGAAAGGCGGATAACTGGGATAATCGGGTAAACGGGATAAACGGGAAAGACAAAATATCGGGAATACGAGAAAGGCGGATAACTGGGGTAATCGGGTAAACGGGATAAACGGGAAAGAAAAAATATCGGGTATACGAGAAAGGCGGATAACTGGGATAATCGGGTAAACGGGATAAACGGGAAAGACAAACTATCGGGTATACGAGAAAGGCGGATAACTGGGGTAATCGGGTAAACAGGATAAACGGGAAAGACAAAAAATCGGGTATACGAGGAAGGCGGTAACTGGGGCAAACGGGATAAACGGGAAAGACAAATAATCGGGTATACGAGAAAGGCGGATAACTGGGGTAAACGGGATAAACGGGAAAGGCGGATAATCCGTTAAACGGAGAAAGCAGACAATTGGGGTAATCAGGTAAACAGGTAAAATGGATAACCCGGGGTAAGCAGGTAAACGAGAAAGGCGGATGTTCGAAGTAATCAGGTAAACGGGAAAGGCGAATATATAGACGTTCACCAACGAGTGTTGGTTGGTTTTCATGTTTATCTAGCTCGAGTTAATCTATAAAATGTATGAAGACACGAGGTTTAACGTGTGTCTTTTACAATTTGAAATTAACTAACGAGAGTTAGATAAACGTGATAACTAATAATTAGGAGTATGGGGACCTGTTATTCCCATAACGTTCGTATTTTATCTGAAAAAAACAACAACACATTTTTCAGATGGGGGATGTTTTTGCCATAGAACAATGGAAAATGACGTCGAAAAGCATTGTTACGTAACGTAATTTATTATGGATTGACCAAGGTTGTTACCCACAAGTGGGTAATCATTTTTTTTTTACCAACGGCCAGGAAACAGAACAAAAAACCTTCCTCACAGGGGCAAACGCTCAACTAAAGGCAAAGGGTGAGGCATTGTCAAGGGAGACATTAGGAAGAAGAAAGCTGTTTAGAAAGAAGAGAAAAGATAAAATCCCAAATTTAGTCGCCTTTTACGATCATGCAATGGGGGCAGCAGGTACAATTCTTACGCCCTACCTGCAGGGACAGGGTTATCAGGTTATCTGGTAAACGAGAAAGGCGAATAATTTCTGGTAACTGGTGTCGGTCAAGTTAGTACGTTCTCGGGTATTCTATCTCACTCTCAATACAGTATCCCCTTGTCTGTAAACATCAGTTTTGCTATCTTTTAACTTAATTTTTACGTAAGTATCATAAAACATCAAATCAGACATTTTAATTTGTACAAGTTCACTGAAACTAAAAACTCCAGCAAAACCAATTAAACAAATAGTACAGACTCTTACGTCTATCAAACTATTGAAATCATTAAATTTTACCAACTGATTAGACGTCAATGGTGATTTTTAACAATAGGTTTAGACAACAACCTGTTTGCGCCCTCCAAATTTTTCAAAACAAATTGATCATTACACGGATTTGACACCGCCGCAAAGTCGTGCTGCCAGTTTGTGCTGTAAAAATGAGAATTCAGAACTTGACTTACTTGCAACAGTCTCTTAACTTCATGAAATAAAAGTCTAATTTTTTATTCGTATCGTTCGCATGTCTGGCTCTTGCTACAAATCCAACATGTGATGCTGCCTGCTTCAGAAGAGGATTCCTTTCAATATTGTTAATTTCTTCCCATACACCACCTAATTTGGTTCCCGATTTTTGAAAATAAGTAAAACAAAACAAAAACGAATTCTAAATTCACTTCATACACGTGTTGTTACAACAGAAAATAGGATAACGAATAAAAAACTCGACACCCCTGATCCAAATGTCAACATGGGAGTAATTGCACGTAATATCAACATGCGTGTGTCACATTACGAAACGTCATACACGTCAATTAATCATCAACACGATTTCGTGCAAAAAGGACATGTCTACAATAAAAGTGACACGTGCGGATAGCAAGCAAAATCTAGCCTTAAGACCGATACATAGTAG